TTTGATTTAAAAAATTTTATATTTTTTATTTATTTTTATCAAATTTATGTTTTCATTACTGAAAAATGAGAATAATTTTGTATTAATAAAACTTTCACCATGTAACTTTTTATATGTTATAGATATTGAGATTATAAACATTTTGAGTAATTATTTGAGATTTTTCATAGGGTGATTTTGAAAAAACAATGATTTTTCCCTGCTTAAAATTTTATTTTAACATTTAAAAATAGTGATTTAATTCAACTAAAGCTTAATAATATTATTTTTTGTAATATTAAAATGTGAATTTTTGCTCTGTATGATTTTTATTGTCTACCATTATGACATTTTAATATTTTCTGAATTAAGCTCATTTAAACTTTTTTATTGTAATATATTGGAAATAAATGTGGATATATGATTGAGATTATTATTATAGTACTGTGATTATTATGTGTGTGTAAAAGACAAGTAAATACTGGTTGACATATTGGTTAAAAACTGATTGACTTGTACAAGATGGTAGACTGACAGGCTTTTCTTTAAATACTACAATTTAGTGTTATCCTATATTGATTCATATGATACACTAATTATGAGTCATAAAAAGATGATTACTGTGCCGACCGGCAAAGAGTGATGACTCTATTTACTAAGCCAATAATTTTATGATATTGATACAATACTGAAAAATATCATGATAACCAGGACTTTTTATTTTTTAGTATGACTACTAAAATGTATATTCTTGATGCATTATTCTTATTATTGTATGAATTTATTATTATTGCATGGATTTACTATTATTGTATTATTCTACTACTACCATTCGATTATTACTGTTACTTATTTAGATACTAATATTAAGTATTTGATATATTGAGCACGTGATATTAAATAACTGGATATCATGGGTACATTCTGATATGATTTTACCATATTGATTAGATTTTAACAGTCTTTACCAATATTTTGATTTGATGCTTTATATGATTTTAATATTGATTGGTATTACACATATGATGACTACTTTATAGATTTGACACACGTACTAATTTACTTCTTTACTATTTCATATATAATAGTGTTTTACTATTTATAGATTCTACAATTATTGTATGTGAATTTTACTTATTCTTTATTGATTTAATGATCATTTGAATATAACTACTATGATTTAATTGTTGACATGCATATTACTCCTTTGTCATGCATTGAATTCAATAGTAGGTTTTGGTGACCTGCTGGGCTTTTTAGCTCATTGTATATGATTATATGATTTTAGGTCAAGGCAGAGGAGTAGGAGTGCGAGGCTGATTAGGATTCCTTTAGGTTCAAGTTCTTTTTATTTTAGTTATTCTTTTGTATTCAAGACATGATAGATATGTGATAATTATATAGATCTTGAGTATTATATATAAGTTTTTGGAATGAATATAGTTATGTATCTTGATATTTTGAATTATATAATCCATTTTACTTTTTATTATTGATAAATAATATTAACTAGCTCTAATTATTATTTATTAAAAGATAAATAAATAATTCTTCTAAATTAGATTATGAGGCATTACATATTAGTCACCTTAAAAAGCTTGACTAAGAACTCATAGTGTCCATGCCAAGTATTGAAAGAAATATTCATCACATCTACTTCTCTCACCATTGCATGATGATAACTAGATCATAGATTAATATTATAGAAGATAGAAGATCCAATAAGTTGATCAAATAAATCATTGATCCTTGATAAATGATAATTATTCCTAATATTAATCAATGCACTTACGCAATATAACATCCTTATTCTTCATATATAGAATAGGTGCACCCCACGGTGATACACTATGACAAATAAACCAGCTATCCGTTAACTCTCAAAGATATACTTTCTACTCTTGAAGCTCCTTAGGTGACATCCTATACGGAGACTTAGATATAAAAAATGTACCTAAAAATACATCAATACAGTACTCAATCTCTCATATGGAGGCAAACTGAATGACTCCTCATGAAAGATATCTCGAAACTCCTATATTATCAGAACATCAAAAAAAGATCCATTACATAAACTATCGTCCCTAACCTATGCCAAAAATTCCATACACCCCTTCTTCTATGTATATCAACTTTCATAATGGACGTGACAAAACATATATAACTTTCTATAAAAGATAACTCTTACTACTTAAAAATAAGTTGAGCCACTTCTTCAAATAATCAATCTGAGCCTCATATCGACTCAACTAGTCCATACCCAAAATAATATCAAACTTAGAATATGACTATATTTCCACTTCATATCTAATATTTCTTAATAAAAAAACATACCATATTGGCTTTCATATCCTCTCTCATTGGTAAATTAATAGATAAGGTAAAAGATAATAATATTGAATGTAAGTGTATTAGATCAAAGTAGCACTCGAAAATAAATGATTGACTAACTCTAATCAAACAAAATATGATAACATTGATTAGATATGTAAGCTATACCTATAATAACATTTGGTACATCTTGAGCCTCATGCTGAGTTAGACTATATACACATTCTTGAATTGGAGCTGGCACAATAGAACCATTAGGCTTTCTCTAACCTGAGGATAGTCTCCCTAATACACAAATAGAACCACTGCCACTATCTAATAATACCTCAAAAAATGTATATAGTGGAATTGTCCTTAGTCTCCCTACATATATGATTAAACTATCAGATTAAGGCTTAGAACATTAGTTTATTTTGCATAGTAAACAATAGACATCCCTCATAAATTTGGACAAAAATTATTTATATTACCACATTAATTGACACTGGCACCACGGTGCAACAAAAAATGGTGTTCTGTCACTGAACAAGTGAACTAGTGTCATGACACTATTGATTTCTTTTGTTGCGACACTACGTCTAAATCAACATGTCATTTTACCATGTAACCATCCCAACCGTGGCACCACAATATTAAGGCTATTTGGTGCTATGACATTGATGTATCCAGAGCACGGTGGTGCTTTATTGACACTACGATGCTGAATTATTTTATAAAAAATATAAAGAATAGGTCATCATGGCATTCTTCCTTAGTTCTGTGGTGCCTAAATTGTGCTAAGAGCACTGTGTAGCTTGATGATGTGGCATAGTGGTGTGGTACATTTTTCCAAAATTTTTAGTCATTTTTTTGGAATTTCCTAAATAAAAATAAACAAAATAAAGATTTTCACAATAAAATATATACCAATATATTAACAAAAGTTTCTAGTAACACATATACACATCACATGCAATGTTTATAACATGTAGATCATCATAATATGCTCAACAATATGCATATATTATGCCAAAATGTATGTTATACAAGATAATTATAAGTTAATGCATATCATATATTTCATGACCAAATATAGTTCATGGACTTCCTGATCATTTATACTCAGCAATATTCTACTCATTTCAAAGAAAATAACATATCAAGTCCCAAGGACTATCAAGTCCCACTCGCCATGAAGCACAAAGAGAAATTGTCCATAGGTTGGGGAAATCAAGGGCTCTCTTGAACCAAGAAACTCACCACTCATCTCATACATAAGATTATCCGTAGAAGATGCTTGCCATCATCTACGGTCGAGTGCCATCATTCACGCTTTCTACCTTAACTGTAAGAATAATACCAACTCAAGGAACTCTCAAGTCACCCAACCTCGACCATTTGATCCTGGAGCTCGCCCTTCCTACAACACCAACTCAATCATTTTCCTTTTCTAGTCAATCTAAGGCTTCAACATAGGTTACTGATGACTTTAGAGTATCAATTGGCCATAAGCCCTTCTTTCTTAGTACTCGTTTTCAGACTCATCCATACATACTTAGTACGACAGAACTCATCCATGCACACTTGGCATCACTAAACTTTCCCCCACGTTGGATTATAAGGTTCATGCAGAGTTATTCTCTTTCCATCCAATCAAAGTGTGGCACACATCTATGACAGTCTATATTGAGAGTTTTTAAAGCATGACATTACCTTTTTTATATATAGAAGTAGCCTTTCTTACGGTCCTCAAAATTTTACAAATAAAAGGTGAAGATAAGCATTTACGGTCTTTTGACTCTTTGATATCTTGAGCACTTGTATTCTGGTTAAAAATAGTGGACTGCTCTGTCCATTCTCACACAAGTTTCTAGGTCATTTTTTCATAGTTAGCTTGATAAATAAGGTCAACTATCACCAATGAACACATTTGGATTCAACACCATATTAAAAAAAAACCACTAACATTTAATTGTTTGATGTAAAACACTTTTTTTTCAAGCATATATTTTGAAATACAAAGGTGTTACTTAAATAAACATAAACATTAATGTGCTAGATATGAGGGTATTTAAAAAAAACAAATAGTTAAAATGACTTTAAAACACTTGGATTTATTTCATGATGAGTACAATATAAATTATTTATGTATTACACTAATCTCAAACACAAATCTCTCTTACAATACAAAAGAATTCATTGAAAATAGGGAAAAATAAAAAGAAAATAATTAATATTCAATAAATTTAAGGTAATTTAAGTAATATATTTTAAATAAAATGATTTGAAGAGTTAACTAATATATTTAAAATTAAATTTTATTATTTAAGTCATATTTATATTTGCATATTTATTAACTTTTTTTATTTTTTAAATAAGCATTTGAATATGTAAATGACATATGATATATATTCTACCAATATGCATTTAACAAATTTACAAATCAAATATCACATACTCATAAAATTATTATAGGATGTAGATTTCACATACCTTAATTTGTAGTACGGCTAGTCTGGGTGCTAAGTTATTAGTAAAAGTGCTTAATTTTGTTCAAAAATTATTTAAGGATATTATTTAATACTATAAAAATTGAAAATTTGAAAATAAAATATTTCTATATTATATTCACTTTAAAGAAGGCCTAAAATTTTTTAAATTTTATTATAAAACAATCATTATTAAAAAAAATCCAAATATAAGGGCAATTTGGTAAATCCACAACCTCGTCTTTCCCATTCTCCATATAAAGTCGCATAGTCGCCGGAAACCCTAGGGTTCTCCAGGCGATCGATTCGGCATTTGGGTTATAAGCGCGGTGTGTTCGTCTTCTCTACCGGCGGCTGGTACGTTCCTTCCTCCTGAATATCCGATTACTAGTTCCTCTATTTGACTCGCGTGATAAGTATAGTTGCTTCTCTGATGGCTTAGAATGGCGAAGTCGAAGAATCACACAGCTCACAACCAGTCCCACAAGGCTCACAGGAATGGAATCAAGAAGCCTAGGAGGCAGAGGCAGACATCCACTAAAGGGGTATAGTGAAATCTCCTTTTCTACTATTTTATCGACGAAGTTGTGTTTGCGTTTCATATTTTCCGAGAAATGGAAATTCTTTCTAATTTGGTTCATGGCTCTCTGCTAAAGATATACCTTTGATTGGATTATTTTGGCAGATGGATCCCAAGTTCCTTAGGAATCAGAGGTATGCGAGGAAGCACAATAAGAAGAGCGGAGAATCAGGATCTGAAGCAGAGGAGTAGATGAAGTGATATGGAAGAGGCACCGGTCATTATTATTTCTATATTACAAGACTAGAACTGTGAACCTTTTTTTTCTGCTGCTATAATGTTTCTATGTGAATTTTCTACTTATTGTCATTCAATCATCTTTTGGTTGGAGGATTTTAGTTCACTTTCCTCACTATTTGTATTGGTGTCAGTTTTTTCTCTGGTATGTCTTTTATGATTTTAATTCTCATCTTTAGTGAAATGTTGTTTTTGTGTTTGATAGAAATTTAGTTTGGCAAGTTTCAGCCTGTTCTTTGTGCCCATGCACTCGCTTGATGTTCTTGGAAGCATGCTATGATTGCTCAGAAAATCAAGGATTGAAGCTTTCTATTAGTTAAAACCAATACATTTCGGTCAAAGGGTTTATTTGGTAATGATTTTCTTCTACTTTTGTTTTTGAACTTGATTTATGTGAGAAATGAGTATTGGAAAACCCCAAAGCATGCATCTTCTCTTTGTGTTTGCATTTATGAGCAGATCTCTTACTTAATTTTGTATAACTCAATTCATTACACAAAATCTCAATATTACGAGAAATTATTTTGTGCGGACACCGGACCGTTAGGAGGCAAATCAACAAACGGGTGACATGACACGTTCTGATTCTCTTCCGAACGGACAGAATAATTTCACTAGTATTACCAGATTAAGCTTGAACCAACATTGTTTATCTTCTTTTCCATAGTTGGTGTAGTAGAATCATATCTTACTTTTAGGTAGAGCTATTGTTTTTCATGAAAAAATTCACCTATAATACTTTATCAACTTCATTTGCAAGTCTATATATCTCAGTTGGGAATAATTTTTATTCTTGTCTAGTTACATGCCATTTAAATGTGTTCATTTTCCCCCCCTCTATATAGCTCTAATGATTACAAAAGCAAATTGGATTGTCTTGTCTAATTTTTATTCTTGTCTGATTTTCTTCATTTTTGTAATTGAAACAATCTCAAATTACTGATAATTGAATAGGAAAACCTTTATGGTGCCAAATGTTGGCCATTAAAAGAGAAGCATGATACTAAGTATGCTCAGGTGGATGAATGGCTTTACCCTTAGAGATAAGATACGAAATGAGCATATACGTGAAAAGGTTGGAGTAGCTCTAGTGGAAGATATGATTAGAGAGAGTCGCCTTAGATGGTTTGGTCACATAAAACGGCGACCTTCCGATGACCCGGTTAGGAAAGTAGAGGTATTAGATTTTTCTTATGTTAAGAAGGTAGAGGTAGACATAAAAAGACTTGGTTAGAAAATATTAGAAATGATCTTTCTTTATTAGATTTAAACAAAAACTTGACTTTTAATAGGACATAATGGAGAAAAAAGGATTCATGTAGCTGACTCTATGTAGTGGGACAAAGGCATGATGTTGTTGTTGTTGCTGGTTCTATCAGGTTCTTGGTTTTGTTTAACAATCAATCTTGATTTCATTTTAGGAACAATACTTTTTTTTGGAGCCTGATTTTGCAATGATAAACATTACTAGATATTTTGCATATTTTGTGAGTATTCCTGCTCTTGTTCTCAAGGTTTTGTGTAGGTGGCAATCCCTATGCCTAATTATTTTCTTATGTGAGATAGAGAACTATTGATTGAGGTTGGTAGGGTAGTCCCTATGCAATCCCTATGCCTAATTATTTTCTAAAATGGGCTATGATACTATACTTATGGAGGTTTAGTTTGGGGATTACCATTTTATGCCTCCTGCCCTAAGTTACAGCAGTTGCAGGTTTAGAGCTAGCTAATGCCCATTCTGTAATATGCATCTTCTTCATTGGTGCGGGTTGCCCTTTGGCTAAGGCCACCTATGTTTCCGACACCTTTAAACCAGGCTAACGGATTGAATAAAGCTAGATTATCGCTCCGATTGCATTGACATAGATCGCATCATGGTGAAAGCAGAGTGGAGTCCTTGATCTTGATGCTGAACAGAATGCCAATAAAGCCATTGAAGCATAACAAAAATATTATGGAGGGCTATATTAACTAAATTGGGATAATTACCTTGGACATTAAGGTGCCAAAAATACTACGATTTGGATTTGTGGAATGGATCTAAGAGTTTATAAAGGGAAAAAAAATAGAGGGATCTAAGAGTTTATAAAGGGAAAAAAAAATAGAGGATGACAAAAACTTGTTGGGCTCACTTTAGAACATATGCCTAAGGAGGTATTTGAGATCATTTCTTTTTCTAATATTTTTAAATATATTTATATTTATATTTATACTTTTTTTAAAATGGAAATTTCCATTACTAGCCCTAGTAAGAAATAACAAAGAAGACTATCAAATTTTTAATCTAACTCATCCAACCAAAGAAGTAGGTGAAAACTAATATCAATGAACTTCCTTTATCGTTTCCTTTTTTTCCCCTTTCATTTCCTCTCCTCCATTTCCTTCAAACTGAAAGAGCAAAACAATCATCCTAACATAAAATGTTGGCATAAAACTACATATGCATTGAGATTATGAGCCCTTGCATTTTATCTTTTTGCAAGATAAGCAAGCAAGGGAGGAGTTCTTGCAATTTATAGATAAACTAATTGATTTACATTTTGCTAATTTGATCTTGCTAACTTATTATTTATTGGTATTGCTATGTAGAAATGTAACAAGCCATAAATATAGTATAAAATCCACCTCGGTCAACTTAATATCGACCAAGTGAAACTTTGAGCAAAAAATCCATCCCATCAAGGTTGATAAACTCAACTCAACTCTATTCCCAATCAACCATCAATCAACCCAAGTAAAACCCGATCAAAGACCGATCAAGCCATCCAATTTCAACTCAACCAACTTCTATCTCAGTTCAAAGCCTTACTTGTCAACCCGATAAATGAACGGTTAATACAATATTAACCCAATCAATAATTATACCCTTATGGAATCTACCTACCAACCTGCAAACATCTATTGGTGAATCCTATCATCTCGGTAATGGGTAAAACATATTTCGATGGTAACTAAAGAGAATAAGCACATTACATTTAGTAGATTATGGTCTGATAGTTGATAGATCGTTCGTCGAATTGATTGTGGGGCTTGTATCAATTCTACTCAAGTTGATAGAGGGCTTTGTGACTAGTTATATGCACATTTATCTTCTTGACTTACACACCCTCATGAACTAGTTTATGATTAGCTTTCTATACCGATTAAGTAGAACCCCATGATTGGTTATGAATTACTTCACTAAAATTGAAGCATGCACTAGGGGATGTGATAAGCAACCCTTTAGGCATCCATAGGCTTGAGATGTTTACTTTTAGCATAAGAAATAACATCTGCTGCTGGAACCGATACTTGACTCCTGGTTTCCTGTGCTGAAACCGTGGCTTTCCTTGTGAAATAAAGTGCCATTTGGGATTTCTCAATGGTTGTTCTGTTCCTGGTTGGTTCCGTTGCCTTGTTCTGCTTGGAATGGCTGTGACTCTTGGGTATCATGCAGTTTTTTGGACTGTTTTTTGACAGTTTTTTTGGGCTGTATTTTGGACAGAATTTGGACAGTTTTTGGGACTGTTTGGTAGCTGTTTTGGGAAGAATTCCAAGAGTTTCTACTGCAGTTTTTAGGCGGCTTTTGACCTTCTATTTCTAGCTTTTAATTAATATTTTAATGGCTTTTTAGTTCCCCTCTTATGCCTATATATAATAGATGTTTTGGGCTTTTTAAAAGTAGAGAATGATATGCGATTTTTGGAATCTAACCTGCGGGTTATTGGAAAAGCTTGCGAGCTTTGTCCGTTCTTCTTTCTCATCCCCTCCGGAAATCCTGCGGGCTCTTTCCACCCTTCTTCTTGGCTTCTAATCTCTTCGTCTCTCCGCAAGTGCCACTCCATCTGTATCTTTCGTCACTAAGTGAAGCAATTTTAGGGTGTCGTCTTGTTTAAGTCTTTATTTCTTAAGTTTGTAAGTCCTTTTCTAAGTGTCGTTTGTAAGCGTCTTTATGATATAAAAAGTTGTTTTTTGTCTAATTCGTTTAGTTTTTGTGAGATCTTGTAATCTTCTATTATCTAGGAAGAGTTTCTTTTTTTAGCAAAAATTTGGGGCCCTCTCCCAAATTTTTGCTTGCATCACAATATTAACCCAATCAATAATTATACCCTCATGGAATCTACCTACCAACCTGCAAACATCTATTGGTGAATCCTATCATCTCAGTAATGGGTAAAACATATTTCGATCGTAACTAAAGAGAATAAGCACATTACATTTAGTAGATTATGGTCTGATAGTTCATAGATCGTTCGTTGAATTGATTGTGGGGCTTATTTCAATCCTACTCAAGTTGATAGAGGGCTTTGTGACTAGTTATATGCACATTTATCTTCTTGACCTACACACCCTCATGAACTAGTTTATGATTAGCTTTCTATACCGATTAAGTAGAACCCCATGATTGGTTATGAATTACTTCACTAAAATTGAAGCATGCACTAGGGGATGTGATAAGCAACCCTTTAGGCATCCATAGGCTTGAGATGTTTACTTTTAGCATAACATAATAATAATATTAAAGTTTAAAATAATATAATGATAATAAAATTAAATCATGATATGATAATTTTTCATATTTAAAAAATAATAATATGAAAATTTAAAGTTTTGAAATCATGGAAATAATGATTTTCATACTTTTTAAAAATAATAATATTATGTTATAACATTATAAGTTTAAATATTTTTAGAAGTAGTAATTTGATCATTTTAAGCTTATAAATTTATGATAATGATGATTTTCAATTTTTTATGTTATATCACTATTACGGTTCTTCCTGAACTAACCAAAACAGCCCTGATGGGGTCGGTTCATTCCTATAGGAGGCGGGCTAAGCCACCTCCTCAGAAGTGTCACCCAAGCATGTGGGCCCCCCTAGGGCAGCAAATATAGAGAGGGAAGGGGGCAGCTAAACCATAGGGAGGCTATTTTTAATTTGATTCATTTTTGAAAACTTTTTATAGGAAGATATGTATTTAAAGAGGATGAGAGGTTAGGGTTAGGACATGATTGATTATTATTTCTCTTGGAGTTCTCTTTGGTGTTTTGTGCTCTAGACTCATCGTCTAGAGATTGGGAGAGAACGATCATCCTCTCGAATTGAGGATCAATTGTATCTTTGATTTGTGCGTGCTTTGATTTGATTTCCATAATACAATCTACTGTTTTGGATTGTTTTCACTGAAGCTCTTGAGTTTTTC